TTCTTCTTCTTCTTCTTCTTTTCTTTTTCTTCTTTTCTTTTTCTTAAGGGAGATTGCCCAGGCTGGTCTAGAACTCCTGGGCTCAAGTGATTCTCCCTCTCTGGTGGCTGGGGCTGCAGGTGTGCATCACTAGACCCTGCTCAAGGGCCTTTCTTTCACAGCATAATACTCTCTTTCTGTTGAGCTATTCGGAACTCTCTGGGTCCCAGGTTCCAATAACTGATTGTAGAGCTTGACACCAGCCAGTGAATGACCTCTTGCTTCCTTGTGCAGTTCTGTTGTTATCCTCATCTTCATGGACTACTATTACTTTAGCTATCTGTATTTCAACCTCTTCATTAAACAGAGACATTACTAAGTGGGTATTAAGGAAAGGTATTTTTAAAATATTGGCACTAAACTGAAAATTTCTCCTAGATGTAATAAAGGAATTGATAGTCTGTTAAAGGAGAGAGAGGATGGTGAGAAGAACTAGGCATTCATTTTCTTTCTCAGCTGAAAACTGGTGGGTAAGGAGGGTATTCTTGATTATTCAATAACAGTCAATTATATGAAGTGAACATTAGCTTGAGTTGGCTGTGGAGTGTGGGGGAGGAGGAGGGTCATATGATATGAAGATGAGTCACTTGATTAGCATATTTGCTTTTCTTTCTTTGAATTACCAGTTTGGGGACTGGAGGGAATAAGATAAATGTAAAACAACCTCAGAGAGTTGACTGACCTGTGGAAGAAAATCTTCAGGAAGGAGAGCCAGAGTTTCTAGGTATCCCATATTTCCAACGACATTTGAAGAAGATGGATTTAATCTTTTTGGTTTCTTCTATCCTGGTCCCTTGCCTATCAGAATTTACTTAAGAGAATTCTATTCTAACCAGGTAGCAGATTCTTTTTCTCTTTGTCTCTTAGGCTCCTTTTTTTGGGATTAAACCCAGGTATACTCTATTGCCCAAGCTGACATTGAACTTGATCCTTTCATCTCAGCCTCCTGAGTCACTGGGATTACAGGCATGTGTCATCATGCCTGGCTCTTTGGTTGCTTTCTTTGTTTGTCATTTCTAACTTTTTATTTCAAGATTTTGTTAATACCTAAGAGATGAGATAATAAGATTGACAGAGGAAATTAACCATTGATGAAGGAATTTTTAAACCTCATTTCATAAAACTTTATTTCCTGTTAGTTGATAACTTTTTGAGTCTTTACATAATTGATAAAGAGAAATTGTGTTTATGTATATACCTTGGAAGTTGGAGATTTATGATGTTAAAGTTCTGGCATGCCATATAAAGGAAAGGTCCTATTGGATAAATGGGGGCAGGAATACATGCATCCCTGACAAGTTATTTCCTCACTTGGAGGAGAAGATTACTTTGGAGCTCTTATTATATGCAGTGTGATGTTATATCCTTCTAGTATTAGTATAAGATTGCAGTCTATGGCTCAAGATGAGCCACTGAGTTGGCTTCTGAATCTTGCTTCTAGAAATGTACAAATCCATTCACCTTATTTCTTTGAAGCACAAAGTTAGAGATAAGTATGAGAGAAGAATGATGGAGAGGAGTGAAGTAGCAAGAAGAATGAGGAGACTTGACACCTTTGGCCACAGCTCTTTTGATCAGTGGGTCTCAGTTGCACATACAAACTGGTGTCTTACCAGCTAGGGAGTAGCCTCTGTCTGACTAAACAGGAATTGTCTTCTTGTGTGCACTCATTTCCTTCTGGATTTCTGCTGACTTGGTCTGACTTTTTTTTTTGGTGGTGTTAGGGATTGAACCTAGGACCTGGTGCATGCAAAGTGTACAATCTACTACTGAATTATAACCCATCCTCCCAACTCATCTTTTTCTTTTGTCTGTGTAGAGGATCATTGCTGTCTTCAAACCCAAGAATGAAGAGCCATATGGGCATCTTAATCCTAAGTGGACCAAATGGCTGCAGAAGTTGTGCTGTCCCTGCTGCTTTGGCCGTGACTGCCTTGTCCTCAACCAGGGATATCTCTCAGAGGCAGGGGCCAGCCTGGTGGACCAAAAACTGGAACTCAACATTGTACCCCGTACAAAGGTCAGTGACCTTAGTGCTGGGCTAAAGTTTTGCTGAGGCTTAAACCTTGTTAGTGGGACTTTGGGTCTAGTGGGGGCTGTTTCAATCTTGGAAAGTCCTTTTTTGGGAGAAGGTAACAGGATTAGGCTCACAAATTATTCATCTGATGAAAGTTGTTCTTGAAGGACATACATACAGATTTTTATACACAATTTCAGGAATTTCACAGATGCCTAATGCACATTTATGGGCTCTCTTGGTCTTTATATCCCAGGGAACCCCAAGCTGGTTAGAAACCTAGCTACTTTTAAAACTCACTCTCTTAGACCTTAGAGCTATTCCAGGATTTCATTTTTTTGTTTTTATTTTTTAAAGACAGGAGCTTGCTATGTTGCCCAGACTGGCTCTTCTGGGCTCCAGTAATCCTCCTGCCTCAGCTTCAAAAGAAGTTGAGACTGCAGGAGCATGCCACCATATCTGGCTTTAGATATAATCTAGAATGGATGAGCTGTTTAAGAACCCCCATACTTCATGAAACTCTCCAAGAGTTATGAGGGGAAGAAATATGTTGATCATACAAGCAATTAAGGACACATCATCACCCACTGAGTATGTGGCATCTGAGGTTTAGTAACAAGTGGCACTCTGATCTTATGCCCTGAGGCTGCAGAGGGGGCTTCGTAGTTCTGGGTCATAACCCTCTTTGAGAATCTGGTGACAGCTGAAGGTCCTATTCTTAGAAAAAAAACACACATATTTGCAATTAGTATTTTGCGTATATTTTCAGATGACCAGTTGAAATCTATCCATTGACCCCCTCTAGACCATGCCTTGAGATCAAAAACCTCTGCTTGAGGTTTTCTTCATAGGTTTAGATGGCAAAGAAATTGATTAGCAGATAGGAACTGCCCTGCAAACTTGGTTTTACATTTTTTTTTTCTCTTCAGTTCGGGAGATTGAAAACAAAGGTGCTCTACTGAGATACATCCCCAGTCCTTATTATTTTGAGACAAAAGCCTCCTTAAGTTGCCCAGCCTGGTGTTGAACTTGTGATCTTCCTGCCTTAGTTTCCTGAATAGCTGGGATTATAGGTGTGCACCATTGTTTTAGGATTTTTTAAGAAGACAATGGGATTATTGTGAATGTTTTAACTATTTCTGCTTCTTTTCCACTGAACTCTAAACAATAGGCCAACTAGTTTGTGAATTTCTAGAAGTTAGAGATCACTTCTTGAGATATTCATTTCCCATTCTAAGCACCTCGCAAAGTACTATATAGTAAGTAAGTGTTCATTAAATATCTGAATCAGTGAATAAATGTCTAATCAAGGAAACAATTCCAAAGATTCCCCCAACTTCAGGCTGGAGAGAATGAATGTTTGACCAGGCTATGGTTCCCATTTGTTACCTAATTCACTGCCTGGATTTGTGCTCATTCCCTCCCTTTATATGTTGATTTTATTTCTCTGTGAAGATAGTTAAACAACACACTTTCAGCATCTTGTATGATAATTAACACTCCCAGATCTCTTGCCTAACCTGGAATCCTCCTACTAAGCCTCTCCTAGGCTCTAGAAACTTTTAAAATACTCCTTGCTCATCACTGTGTGATTTCCTTCCTGTTCTTGGCTCTATGCTTGCCTGCTAACTGGTGTTTCTGGAGAGCAGTGCTTAAGAATCAGAAGGCTCGATTTGAAATCTGACTCAAAAGCTTTTTATTTGTGTGACCCTTGTGCAAGTCAATTAATTCCCTGAGGCTGTTTCCTTACTGTAAAAATAGGGATATAAATAGTTCCTTTTAGAGTGGCTATTAGGATTTCACAAAAGGGATTTCACAAAAAAACTTAAAGGTAGACTGCTTGCCTCACATGCATGAGGCCCTGGGTTTGATCCCCAGCACCATACACACAAAAAAATTACACAAGATAATCCACTTAAAGCACATAGCCCAGTACATGACACAGGCTATACTCTGGTTAGCCTGTGTTATTTGTAATCTATTCTAATCATTAATGTTGCCTGCACAACCCTTTTCTTTCCCATGTCTGTTCTTCCTCTTTCCCTATTAATGATGCCTGAGGATTTTTTTGCTCAGAAAGTTAGCAACAGCTAAAACTCTTGTCTTCCATGAGACTAAGATAAGATGGAACTTTGCAACTAAAGTTCAGCTGCTGAGAACAGTGAAAGGAATCATTCACTTCCTTACCTCCCCTGTTTGTGACCAGATTCTGTCCATTTATCACTATGAAAATGGAGCTTACAATTGTTATGCAGCTCCAAATAGTAAGGTTCTAATTCTCACTCACTGGCTGTTTCTGTTCTCTGTTCCTGTGAGATTTCAGGTTATGATAGTTTCATTAATCATAGGAGAAAAGCAGTTGTTAGGAAGCATGATCAAAAATAAATGTGATAGGAGGCAAACGATGCTTTATGGCTTGAGAGGATCAGGGTTTTCATAGTGGAAACTGGCAAATTAGAAAGCACTTTTCACTAATTAGAACAAATAAAAATAAATGAATACCAAAAAAAAAAAAAAAGCCCTTTCTTTCATTCATATGCCTGAGTTTCCTGATTTATAAGGTAGGGAGTGCTTGCTATAGTACCTTGCACATTCATTTCAGGGAACCCTGATAAAACGGGATGAATGGAAGGAAGGAGGCTTGTATGGGAATAAATTATTTTGCTTTTAAGGTTCATGGGCAAATAAGGCATTATTTGTAATGAATTTTACAGCTTAGGACAAAAATTTTCTTATAAATTTGATTTAAGGTATTTATATGCTAACTATTATATTTTAACTATATGCTAACTATTTATATTTTAACTATTTCTGCTTATTTTCCACTGAACTATGCTAAAACTCACTAGTTGCCTTTTCTAAAAGAATTTGTAACTCATTCATTCTTTCATTTGTTCAGTTAATACTTAATGAACATTCCAGGTACTGTGTTAGGTGCTGGGAATGCTAATATGAATAAGATGTTCTCTGCCTCCCAAAATGTCTAGGTTTTTTCCCCCCTGGTAATAAGGGATTGAACCCAGGAACACCTTACTAATGTGCTGTATCCTTATCAATTTTTATTTTTTATTTTGAGACAGTGTTTTGCTGAGTTGCTAAGGATCTCACTAAGTTGCTGAGGCTGTCCTTGAACTTGCTAGCCTCCTGCCTCAGTCTCTCAAGTTGCTGGGGGTACAGGTGTAATCCTGTGCCTGACCCCAGCCCTTTAAAAATATTATTTTGAGACAGTCTCACTAAGTTGCCAAGGCTAGGCTCAAACTTGGCAATCCTCCTGCTTCAGTCTCCCAAGTCACTGAAATTATAGGCATGTGCCAAACTCTCCCTGCTAAATCTCATTAATTTTAAGAGAAAAGTTAGATATGTGATTGTATAATCATAAGACATGTGGTAATGGACATGCATATAAATTACAATGGTATCACTGCATTTTGACAGCCAAGTGTGATGATATTGACGTCCCATCATAATTTATGTGTGTGTGTGTGTGTGTGTGTGTGTGTGTGTGTGTGTTTTGGGGGGAGGTGGGTACTGGGGATTAAACCTAGGAGGAATTTTCCCAGCTTTTTAAAAATTTTATTTGAAGATGGGGTCTTGCTAAGTTGCTGAGGGTGGTCTTTTATTTATTTAGTTTTATGTGGTGCTAAGGATTAAACCCAGTGCCTCACATGTTCTAGGCGAGTACTCTACCACTGAGTCACAACCCCAGCTGGTCTTGAACTTGTGATCCTCCTGCCCTAGTCTCCTGAGTCATTGGGGTTTCAGATGTTTGCCATAAAGCCTGGGCCCATTACAATTTTTTTTTGAATTGGCAATGCATGCATATAGTGCAAAAATCAGAAGGCACAGAAGAGTCAAAAGAGAGAAGTAATTCAGCCTCCTCCCACTGCTGTCTCCTGGTGCTCAGTTTCCTTCCTCATACTATTCCAGATAAAATGTGTGCATAAATATAGAAGTCCATTAAAAGTGAAAAACAATTTTTGTATTTTTAAATTTTTAAGAATTTTTAATGTTTATATAAAGTACTGGGGATTGAATCTAAGGGCACTTTTACCACTGAGCTATATCCCTAGT